AGAAACACTTCAGGCTTAAGGAAGCATCTAATATCTTTCCACAAAAAGAAATCACAAATATTTCTTCTTGAAAAACCAAAATTAAGTGGAGATATCACAAGCTTTTTAATAACCACCGGAAAAAGCGGACAGGTAAGAAAAAATATACTTATCACACAATTACATAACACATATTTTATGTAACTAGCGGCCGCCTGCGACTTTGTCCGCGTACAATATCTGATTTCCTATGAGATTTTGAAAAAACTAATAAAGTACATGTCGATCTTCATATCTATACTTTAAAAATATAGGACTTGCTTGCGTAACCATTTTACCCCAATCTCACCCCCTTAGGGTTAGGATTTCGTAAAACAGGTTATTCAGGATTTTATTATTGAAAACTTATAACTTTAATGCCGATTTTCGTGTCTCTAACTTCGAAAACGTAGGACTTTCATACAAACTTCCAACTCCCATTTCACTCCCTTAGGGATAGATTTTCTCAAAACCGTTTCTTAACTGATCTCTATGCCATAAAAGGAACCTACCTTACAAACTTCAAGTTTGTATGTTTTATAGTTCCTGAGATATCGTTATAGTCAGTCAGTGAGTGGTAGTTATATAATTAACATAATTAACGCACTTTGAGAAAGTAGTTTGTTCAGAATCGTTTACTGAATCGATTCCTATCATTTTTAATATAGGTAATTTTTTATCCCAAAAATAATTTAAACTACGTAAATTACAGTCACACTAAATCTGTACAGTCAAACCAAACTGAAATGGCCCGTAACTTAAGGCAATAAGACTTTTAAGAGTGCAGTTTTATTTGTATTATTACTAATTGTGTCATTCAATAAAAATAAAGAAAAATGAACTTTATTTTAAGCACGTTAAAGTCTGCGTTCGTGGATTTGTACTGTGACCACAACATTCTTCCGGAATTAGTATAACTAATTTGATAAATAATCAGTGCATAAAAATGTTTAACTAACAATTCAGTGTATGTATTATGATTATTACATAATATACTAATTGGGGTGTCTGAGGGTGTGTGTTAATTACGTTACATATTGTATATATATAGATTATAGTGTTAAATATGTATTTATAATTCACTCATATTTTCATTTGTTTTTATAATCGGCGAGACACATGATTTACTATTTTATTTCGGTCTGAAAATAGCAGTGACAACATCACGACAGCTACAGTTGATTGGATGGTTAAAAAAATATTTTCCCTTCTCATTTTTCGATGACGAAGCTACAAAAGTATATTTTCGATCAATTTGCCCAAATATGGTGTTTCCTAAAAGGTCCACACTTAGAAGGAAGGTCAAAGAACGGCTACAACAATTTTCATCTAAAATGTCATTTACCATTGATGGATGGACGTCAATTGCTGGTAGGAGTTACTACGGGGTCACTATTCATTATATAGACAACGAATGGAAGTATCGATATGTAGTCCTTGATTTTATACCATCACGCGGTCAACATACTGGGGAAGATATTGCAACGATTTTCCACGAATGTTTATTGGAATATGACATAATTGATAAAATACAGGGTATCACGGTCGACAACGCAACTGCAAATACCAAATTTATGTATGAATTGGACAAACAGTTGCCACACTTTGATTCAGACAATCAACATTTCCGGTGCTTTGCTCACATTTTGAACCTTGGTGTACAAGATTTATTAAAGACCTTAGCATTACACAGTGAAATTGACAATAAGGGACAAGAACAGCAGTATGAAGATAATGAAGACGAAACTGAGGAAGATGAAGAATATGCGCCAAATATTGCTGTCTCACGTACAGCTATAAGAAAATTACGCAGTATTTCCAGTAAAATAAAAAGAAGTGAGATATTGAAGAGGAAGTTTCAGTCCGCTTGTGAAGCAGCTGGCGTGCCATCAAATCTGAACCCCATACTCGACTGTCCAACGAGATGGAATTCCACACATGATATGATTGGATTTGGTTTAAAAGTGAGAACTGGCATTAACATATTGTGCACTTCTGTCACCGAATTGAATGATTTTCAAATCACAGATAGTGAATGGCAAATACTCGAAAAAATACATAAGTTTCTAATAAACTTTAAACTTCTATCAACGAAACTTGGTGGAGAAAAAATACGTTACATTACCGCTAGTCATTGTATCATTCAATCTCTTGCTCGATAAAATTGAATCCATGGTAAAACAATTAGATGAGAAACCTAATCGATCCGAAGTGGATGAAAGGCTCATTCTGGGTTTTCAAGCAGCTCGAGACAAAATGCTTAAACATTATAAAAAGAGCAACTGGATTTATTGTACCTCTTTAATTTTAGACCCAAGGCATAAAACTCAGACTTTTGACATGACATTATGGGGGAAGCAAATTAAAACAGAAAGCCTGCGCAAATTTAATGAACTTTATAAAGAATATAAAAGTCTACACTCAGTGAATACATCTCTAGAATCACCAAGAAATGAAAAGAAAGTATGTGAATATGATGAAGATGAAGATGTAGTAGACTTTGAGAAATTGTATGCATGTCCCTCGACGTCATCTGGATCTGGATCTTTTCATCAAGGCTTAGTTATAGACGAGTTGGAAAAGTACCTAAGTAAACCCAGAGCCGCCAGTTCAGAAGACATTTTAGAGTGGTGGAGGACGCATGAGACAGAATATCCGACTTTATCGAAGATGGCCCGTGATTTTCTTTCAATACCTGCAACTTCAGTACCTGCTGAGAGATTATTTTCTAAAGCATCATTAGTAATTAGAAAACATAGAAATAGGTTAAATGATAAGTTAGCCAGATGGTTACTTTGTATTAATTCTTGGCCAAAAGAATTAATGTAAAGTAACAGTAATGTCAAAGCTGTTATGTACTGTTATGTAATTTAATTTGTATTGTATTTTATTTATTTATTCAAATAAATGGTAAATTGTATAACTCTTTTATTCCATTTCATATAAGGGTCTATCAATCTCTTTCTAGACAGATAATGTTCTTTATAATACAGTCAAGTTAATGTCATTAATTTGTTTTTTATATGTTTTGACTAAGTTTTAGCACATGTAAGCTTACTAAAAGAAACAACTAACTCCCGTGGCCGTGAGACTTGCTAGACAGCTCAGTCGGTTAGAGCATCGGCACGGATCGCTTAGGTCGTGGGTTCAAACCCCACCCGGTATTAGTTGATTTTCGAATTTCTCATTAAATGTTTAGACATTAATTAATTTGGTTGGTCTTTCTATGGCTATGTTAATTCAAGCTCAAAATGTGCCCACTCTGTTAAGTTGTTCTAAGATCTAAAGTAACGTTTAATAAATAACAATAGGCTAATAGGTCATTGCGAGACTTGCGAGACTCTTGCTGCAAGACCAAGACCAAGAACAAGACTGAGAGCGCAATACCAAGACCAAGAACAAAACCAGGTGTATTGGCGCAAGACCAAGACCAAGATTGGCTAAGTCTCGTCTTGTTCTTGCATTTGGGCAACACTAGTCTAAGGTCCGGTTTACATTTTGACAAGATGTGACAAGAAGTACGTGCGAGTGGCAAGTGAGAAGTGACAAGTGCGTATTTTATTCCCACTTAACAGTTGTCACTGCGTGTTAACACGCACTAAGCACTTGTCATTTGTCAGTTGCACTTGCCACTTGCACTTGTCACTTCTCAATATTAAACAGGCCTAAAAGTATACGTATAATCTTTTATTTTTATACGAAATCAAAACTGTAACATCACTATATTCTGATTACCTTTAATAATATTTTACCAGTTCAAATAATGTTTATTTCTTCCTAAAATAATCGAAAACAGCTTTGGCAGAAACCTGAACCACCTGCGAATTCATATATGACATAAATTGTTCACTTGAAAGAAACTGTAAGTTCAATTTTCGTACTTTCTTAAACTTGTTGTGTCCATGGTAACTCAGGTCCTAAGCGCTTGTCGTAAACTTCATAGTACGTGATTAATCAGAGTTCTGTTTGGAGTTTCCAGATGGTCTGGATTTGTCTGGATTCTCCCAATATTTTAAATGATTTTGAGACTCCCGACAAAACTCAAAATCTCCATACAAACAGCTTCTCAGAAAATTGACGTACGTCATTTAACTTAATAAAAGCTGAGTAATAAGGGCCTGCGCTCACAGATAGCATGTCAGGGCACGACGTCTCGATACGACGAGTGCGTTTTGAGTTGTTTGGCGGCCTGCCGCGGGATGTCAGAGGATCCTTCGGCATGCCGAAGTACGTTTGTCACGCCGTGCCATGCCGTGCCGCCTGTGAGCGCAAGCCCTAAGACCAGACTTAGAAGTAAATTGTTTGAATTTTAAATCTTTTCTGAATACTAATAAAGGATCTAAATTGGTGGACTCAGTAAGTCCAATGCCAAATACATGTGGCAACGTAAAAATTAAGTGTATTTAAATTAGTTATGTGTTGTTAAATACTGTTGTCTTTTTGTAGCCGCTTAATTTAAAAAAAATATTTTTATTTTATATTTATTTCTCCCGACAACAACCCCAAAATCCCGACATTTTCAAAAATTTGTCCAGATATTTTTGTCTTCCGATCTGGCAAACCTATTTCTATATCCAATGCTACCAATACATTTGTATTTCTTTTTAAATAGTATTTTACCACAAGTTTGGCAAAGAAGCGTGATTATCTAAGATTTAACGAATTAAGAGAACATATAGAAGTACGCCACGAGGGCTAACTGATGTATCCATTGGTCTCTTAGCCATGAGGGACGGCCTGTGCCCAGCAGTGGATGATGCTGTGATCTATAGACATCTACATCTATCCTCGATTAATAATTAACATGCAGATGCATTGTCACCCCTCAGGACTAAGAGGGAATGCCTCGTTTCCAGTACAAGTGATTCCGGTTCTCTACACTCATCATACGAAACACTGCAGCATTAAGTTTCTTTTTTACGCTGGAATAAAATGTATACTTTCTTACCTTACATAGTGTTATTTCAAATATAGTAACTCACTTATTAATCGCCTTCCTGAAGACATCCTCCCCGAGGAACATGGTCATCATGCGTATGATTGTGGAACCCTTCCGGTACGAGATCTCGTCGAATATCTCCGATATGCGCTTCGGATCATCTATTGGTACTGAAACCTGTTGAAAATTTCAAATAATAAATTTAATACGGTGTAGAAAAATTACAGCCTACATACGTCCCACAGCTGGGCACAGGCCTCCCGTTCATTTCTGAAAGGGGTTTCAGAGCAAGGAATTGTCCGCCGCGCTGCCCCAATGCGTGTTGGCGAACTTCACATGTCTTCGAAATATTTTTTTCCTATTTCTCAGACATGCAGGTTTCCTCACGATGTTTTCCTTCACCGCCGAGCACGTGGTAAATCAGCACTTAAAATTGCAATTAAGAATTTCATTGGTCACGCGGGGATCGAACTCCGTTTGCTTGCGTACTGTAAAATTTACAGCGAGCGCTAACCATCTAAGCTACCACGGCTCAAAAAAGGTTTTAATCTGATTTATTGCTTGCTCGTGAGGGAGAGGAGGTTGCTTGCCATAACTGCCACGCTTGGCAGGCGGCTCAGCAACCGCATTTTTTATTTTATAATCTTTTAAGAAACACGCCGCTGTCCATCCCCTGTTCCTCTGTTGCCACTTATGGCACCCTCGGGACGATATCAAGTAAAAATAAAAGCGGTCCAGGTGCGACCCGGAAGGTCCACACGACTAACTTCCCAGGGGAAAAAATAAAAAAATATCATATGTTTTAATATTTTATATAATTTTTCATTCGACACAAAAAACGACTTGACCGATTCTGCTCAAAATTTAATGAGGTCTAAGTTACATTATTACGCGTTAAATGAAACTGGTCCCATGTCACTCTTTATTCTCGAGATACACGAGGCGAAAATTTAATCCGAACATAGATACATACGAGGGTGGATTGAAAAGTACTCGGCCTAACACAGATCCATTCAATTCTAAAAATCAAATCTACCCACATTATTTAGTTCAGTTCAGACTAGTTCATTGTGTGAAGTTCGAAACGTGTGCGATAATTAGTTGTGATTTTATAAATTTATTAACAAAGTAATCGGACATAATTTCCGCGAATGGAGCAAATCGAGCAGCGTGCCGTCATTAAGTACCTCCATAAGAAGGGGCTATCATCAAAAGCCATCCATAATGACATGGTCAGTACATTAGGCAATTGTGCTCTGTCATATTCATCCGTCAAAAAATGGATAGCAGAATTTAAGCGTGGTAGAGAGAGTGTGAAAGATGAACCCCGCTCTGGAAGGCCTTCGACGTCAACTACTGACGAAAATATTAAAAAAAGTACTTGATTTAATAATGGGAGACCGCAGATTAAAAATTAGAGAGATAGCCGAGATTATAGGCATCTCTTATGAACGAACTCAAAACATCATTGTCAACGAGTTGGGTTTCCACAAGGTGTCTGCGAGGTGGGTTCCGCGACTCCTTTCAGTTGAACAAAAAAGGACGCGATTGACTATTTCACGCGACTGTTTGGAGTTATTTGAAGCCGATGCAGATGATTTTTTGAATCGTTTTGTTACTATGGACGAAACATGGGTTCATTACTGTACACCGGAAACAAAACAACAATCAAAACAGTGGAGAAGACCTGGTTCACCACCCCCTAAAAGGCTAAGTCGATTTTGTCGGCAAATAAGGTGATGGCTTCAGTATTCTGGGACTCGAAAGGTGTGATTATGATCGATTATTTTGAAAGGGGTCAGACTATAAACTCTGATTACTACTGCACCTTACTACGTCGTTTACGAGAGGAAATAAATGAAAAACGTCGAGGAATGCTCAGAAGAAAAGTCCTGTTTCATCAAGATAACGCTCGTGTTCACACGTCAGTACAGTCAATGGCTGAAATTCACAACTGTGGCTTTGAACTGTTACCGCATCCGCCGTATTCACCTGATCTGGCACCATCAGACTTCTTTCTGTTCCCTAACCTAAAAAAGCACTTGGGAGGTCAAAGATTTTCGACAAACGACGAGGTCAAAGCAGCTGTAGACGCATATTTTGACTCTAAGGAAGAATCATTTTTTTTCAACGGTCTAAATGCTCGGAAGGGGAGGTGGCAAAAGTGTATTGAACTTGATGGTGATTATGTAGAAAAATAAAAATATAACTGATTTAGTATGTGTTTATTTTCTTGGTTAGGCCGAGTACTTTTCAATCCACCCTCGTACATACGCACATGCGCACACGGACATCCTCTTAAAAACCATACTATTCGACTCTAAAGAACTTGAAAAAAAAATCGGACCCATTACAATAACTTCCCACTGGGAAGTTAATAAAAGTGGTAGTGAATAACGAATGAAGAGATTTTAGTCTTCTTTAATACTTTTTTTAAGTTGATACAACTCTTATTTATTTTTGCCACCAACTATGGCCATCATCAAATGAGTAGAGTAGATTGAGAAAATTTTTAGTAACGAGGTAGTGCCCTAATGCTCCTAGTGCTCAGAGTTGACAACGTATTTGTGGATTTTTTTACTCCAAGATTGATCATACCCTATAGAAGCCATATTCCATCCAGTGCACTGCTGCTATTTTATACAAGCTAGTGAGAAACGAAGGACATAGCTTACGTAATTCTAAATGGATGCTGCGCGGTACAACTACATCGATACTCGATTGAGATTCAAAAATGCAGTTAGTCCTGAGGACTGAGATGAAATGGCTCCTTACCAACAAAAAAGAAAATGTGATAATAGAACTTACAAGTGTGGGAGTTGCTAGTTGTTGGCAGAAATATGTAAGGAAGTACCTACCCAGGTGGATTCCTGAGCAGAAAAGACATCATGCCACCTTTTATGTATGTAAATGGTGCTTCAATGATGTCAGTATTTCCGAACTTTACAAGGCGCAGATTCGGCCGCACATGGAATACTGTTCCCATCTCTGGGATGAGGCTCCCCAGTGCCAGCTCCTTCCACTTGACCGCATCCAGCGCAGAGCGGCTCGAATCGTCGACGACCGAGTGCTTTCCGATCGGCTCGATTCACTGGAACTGCGAAGAGATGTTGCATCTCTTTGCGTATTTTATCGCATCTACCATGGGGAGTGCTCTGAGGAATTGTTCGGACTAATTCCAGCCCCACAATGTCACCATAGCACATCGCGACAAAACTCGTGATACCGCCCATACCATCTGCTCGTTTGCCCCCTCTCATATTAAATAAATAATAAGAAATCTAGGGAAAATCCCGAAATTTGGCAAGAAAGGTGTACACAACTCACCGGATGCGAAGACTCGAGGGCGTCGAGGCTCAACACGCTAAGGATACTGTCGACTGCGTAGCTGCGGTCGGCGCGCCAGGTGGGCTCGGCTGCCGCTACGCCCACCGAAGCCGCGAACGTCGCGAAACCCTCGTTCAGCCACAGATCCGACCACCACTTCATCGTCACCAGGTTGCCGAACCACTGGTGGGCCAGCTCGTGGGCTATCACCTGCCACGAGGTGAACATAAAATAATATTTCAGATTATTCTACGTATTTCTACAATTATTTTTATTCTTTTGTCTATGAGTGATATAATTTAATTAATTGTATTTTAATAATTTACAAACATACCTCGGCCACTCTCTCTTTGTTAAGGAAAGAGGACTGTTCCTTATCGTACAGGAGAGCGGTCTCCCTGTAAGTGATGAGGCCCCAGTTCTCCATGGCGCCTGCGCTGAAGTCCGGGATGGCGATCATGTCCTGCTTCGGCAGTGGGAACGATACGTTGAACCACTGCTCGAAATGGGATAACACTTTCGGTCCAATAATCGCCGCGTAGGAAGTCTGCAGAGAAATATACATATATAATTAAATAAGACTATAAAAATAAATAACTATAAAAATTACCCATAATTTGGGGTAAAAATAGATGAATAATAGGGAGCCGTAGTAGCTCAGATGGTTAGCACTCGCTGTAAATTTCACAATACGTGAACAAACTGGGTTCGATCCCAGCCGGCACCAATGAAATTGTTAATTGCAATTTTAAGTGCCACGTGCTCGGCGGTGAAGGAAAACATCGTGAGGAAACCTGCATGTCTGAGAAATAAGAAATAAATTCGAAGACATGTATGTGAAGTTCGCCAACACGCATTGGAGCAGTTCGGCGGACACTTCCTTGCCCTAATACCCTCTCAGAAATGAGGGGGACCTGTGCCCGGCAGTGGGACGTATATAGGCTGTAACTATAACTTTAACTTTTAAAAATAGATGAATGTGGCGTAAAAGGAAAATGGACAAATCTTTTTTCATCTATCACTCAATGACTGGAATGAATAGATGAATAGAATGAATAGATATACGGGATAGTTATACCCGGAGGCGTTTCTTTCTTTTTTTAACTATTATAGCTTTAGTTTCTTCTGTATCCAGCATAAGATTATTTGCATAAATAACATTGAGAAAATTCCAAAAGAGTTGTATTTAGTATATTGTTGAGATATTTTGTATTTTGTGCCGACATCACCGCATTTGTATCATCACAAACTGGACGCCCAGTTAATTGTTGTGCATAAAGGGGATCAAGTCATTAGTAAATATGATGAAGAACATTGTTCCCAAAATACAATAAAGTGTACCCTCGGTACGGTACGAGTCTATAAAGTATTTCTTGCTGGTAGCACACAGCGTCAGTGTAATCTTGGTCTCGGCTTTATTTTGCACAAGTAAAAGTCACAAGTTAGCGCACAATGTATCCGATAGTAAGTAGATGCTGTGGTCATAAGACACCTTTGTACATCTATACTCTATCAAATCAGATTTTAATGTAAGGTAGAGTCACGCTGAAGCTATATTATGGTTGCAACACGAATGAGTCGGCTCGACAGGGGAAGGAACACGCTCTCACAGAATACCAGCATAAAATAGCAGCTTCATACTGATGTTTCGTATGGTGTGCGTAGAGAACCAGAAAACCTTTTTACTGGAGACGAGACATTCAATCTTAGTCCTCATGGGTGATAAAGCATCTGCATTTTGATTCCCTAATTGTAGATAGATAGATAGAAAATTCTTTATTGCACTCAAACAAAACAATTTGGTACAAAGGCGAACTTAATGCCTAAAAGGCATTCTCTGCCAGCTAACCTTTTGTAGTGTGATGAGAGCTATGGGTAGAGCCGCGAGAGAAAGAAAAACTAACTTATTTATTCATACTATTCAAAGCGCATTATATAATATTATATATATGTTAATTTATACATATATACACTTATACACACACACACACATATATATATATAATATGTGTGTGTAGTATAGTATATATAGTATATATTTTATTTAAATATATATATATATATATATATATATATATATTTAAATAAAATATATACTAAACCAATAAAGCATACAATATAGTATACGAAATTATAATAAACATAATCAATAAAATTAATCAAGTCATTTTAAATAATATACCTCAAGCTTACGTTTAAATGTATTTATTGAAGGAGCATCTTTTAAATCTCGTGGAAGGTTATTCCAAAGTGTAATTGATGATACCGTGAAGGAATTCGCGTAGTATACAGATTTATGCATCGGGATAGTTAGAGTTTTGTTGATCATCGAACGGGATAAGCTTAAATATGAAAAACGCTCTTTTAGATAAACTGGGGAACAAGGATTGTGAAGAATACCATACAAAGTGGTTAGAAGGTGTGTGTTCCGGCGAAAACGGATGTCGAGCCTTGAGCGAAATTGTGATAGCAGACGGTCGAGTTAGCTGAGCAGCTCCTCAGTTATATCTGGATAGGCAATATCGGCATAATCAAAAATAGGGAGCTACAGAGAGTTGACTAGCGTAACCTTGGCCGTCTGAGGAATAAATTTTTGCTAGAGCTTTAATGAATGCATAGTTCCAAAAATACGTCTCCTGACCTCATTAACCTGTAGCACCCAACTTAGATCGTCAGCCAAAATTACGCCAAGGTTCTTAACCTGCCTAACATATTCTAAATCTACACCGTTTAGAGTGACCTTAGGTAGATATTGATAGTCAAGTCGACATGTAATTTTTCTGCTCTCTATGATTATAACCTGTGTTTTGGCAGGATTTAATATTAGCTCATGACATCTTGCCCACTGATGAACTGCAGCAAGATCAGAATTCATTCTGTCAACAGATGAATTTAGGTCATTTAAACTAAAATGCTGATACAGCTGGACATCATCTGCGTATAGGTGATACTTGCTGAAATTTATTACACAGAAAAAAGCAACGGAGATAATACACCACCTTGAGGAACACCAGCAACAACGTTACACCAATCGGAGAACTTATCATCAACACGTATGCGTTGCCGGCGTCCCCGAAGATAGGAACTGAACCATTGTAGAACTGACGATGTTAAATTCAGGGATTTCATAATTGCTAACAGGATGTCATAGTCAACACAGTTAAAGGCGTTACTGAAGTCCAGAAGGACATGAAGAGTGAGTTTGATGATTATCCATACGGATATCATCAGTTATTTTAATTAAGGCCGTGGAAATACTGTGCAGAGATCGGAAACCAGACTGAAAAGGATTAAAGAGGTTGTGTTTGTTTAGAAATTTTGAGAGTTGGCCATGAACAACCTTTTCAAGAATTTTGGAGAAGAAGGAGAGGATAGATATTGGCCTATAGTGGCTGAAATTAGTAGGAAAGCTATTTTTGGGGACAAGAATCAGGAACGCTTCTTTCCACTTGGTAGGGAAAGTACTGGAGGCAAAGGAGAAATTTATTAGGTGAGTGATATGGGAAACTATTTGGTTTAAAATCGGCAAAACCATGTCACGTCCAATATTATCTGGGCCGACAGCTGTGCTGGATATGACATGCAATTTTTTTTACTTCATTATCAGTCACTGGTTCAAAACAGAAAGGAGTACAACACGGTGAAGGGAAAGAAGTGATATCTTTAATAGTATCGCTTTTGACTGTTGAGTCCAACCAAACTGGTAAAGAGCAAAAGTGTTTGTTGAGCGCTGTTAAATCAAGGGACTCACTAACATTCTGTTTTCTTTTACCAAAGCCTAGGCTGCGTAAAAACTTCCATAAATTCTGGGTTGTGCAAGTGTCAATAGTATTGTGATTATGTCGGCGTTTGGCATTTCGTATCACCTGGTTGCAGCGATTTCGTGCTTTTTTAAATCTCTCCCAGTTGTCATCACTGGGCGAACGTTTATGTTTTCTTTTAAGGCGGTGCCTACGTGCCATAATTGTCTTTGTGTCTTGCGATGTAGATGTTTATGGGCCACGGCATCCACTTGCCATCAGGTGCACTATGTGCTCGTTTGTCATCCTTATTCTATATATAGCAATATGCTGCTATATCACGCTGGTATTCAGTGCAAGTGTGGCCTTACCTCGGTCGAGCCAACCATTTCGTGCTGCAGACATAGAGCTAGCTTAAAGACAGAAATCAGAATATTTATTGTCAATAAACTGCGTACATACAATTTCCGGGTGACATTGTAATTACACGTCACACAGTTTACCCATATAAGATTTACAATATACAGATAAAAACTGAAAGACAATGAAACCAAATGGCGTAAGATCATACCTGGTTGATGGCGTCACTCCGGGCCCAGATCCTGAATTTAGTGTGCGAGAGCTCCGGCGGACTCTCCACGTACGAGAACTTGGACACCACGAAGGCGACCAGGTAAGTCGACATCGGCACCGAACTCTCGAACTGGTCCCACACGAACTGCGACTGGTCGTTCCTATGAGCAATGGTCTTGGTAGAGTGCTAACCAACCTAGTTGGCCATTATTCAACAAAGTATCATTAAAAAAAATCTTGCTGGTTCTACAGGACCAAGACAGAGGCTTTTTCCGAGTCAAGTATTACCTAACATTAAGTAGCGGCATAAACATGTACTCCATATCTTACTGTGGGAACACAAATATATTTCAAAGAGCTTATAACTCGGGCCTGCTTCAGGTTAAAATTATTTTTGAGAACACTATATAATGTAGTTATTAATCTTTTGACTTTTATTTTATTATTAATTGTACATTTTTATATTATATTAATTAACTAAATTCATCAATAATTGTAAAAAAAATTGTTATAACTATTTAGTCAAAATTTGCACGCCTCGATAAGGTAGAATGTATGTATGTTGTAACTTTTATGTTTTAATAATACTTTTGTAATATCTACCTACATTCTATGCAATTAAATAATTATGAATTAAAAAAGCATAAGTCAGACTTCGTTTAAAAATACCTACTTGAACTTCTTTCCGATCAGATCCCAAGGCCAGACATTTTCGAGAACACTGCGTAACAAACCAAACAAATTAAAATTAAAATTACAAAGCAATAAAACTCGTCATTGTGTATTGTGGATAACCGAGGTATTCGATATAACTGAAAGTTATGGTACAAGTATGAAAAAAGGTCTAATGTAACAAGTTAATACTTTCGGTGGTTACCTTGATGTAAACTCTTTAATGGGTGATCCAATTTGATATCTCTATCTATTTTATGATAGCAACACTTTCATTAAACAACTGTCAATGAATAGGTGTTTCTAAACTGTCAAATGTGTAAACTCACTTTGCACCAACAAAAGTATTTTAACATCATAGAGTGCGGACCCAGACCAATGAGGCAGTCAACTTATGTGTGTGCCAGCGCTTGACTACACTCTCACCACCATCGCAATGTTTAGTGTAAAAAATATATAAATTTCTAATAAATTTGGCCAAAATCACGGATCTAAGGCAATAAGAAATAAGATATGGTAAATAATAATAATAATAATAATAAATCTTTATTTCAGACCAGGGTCCATATTTGGTTAGTAGAAAAGAAAAAACAAAACAAAACGAAGAAAAAAAAAATGAAAAAATCAATCAATAAAAGGAAAATAAATTAAAAATAAATCAAAATAAATTAAAATTAACTAAAATTAAATATAATTACTAACTACTACTAAGATTAACTAACTAACATTAAATACACACACGCTTGTTAGCATATGTGTGTGCACCATTCCAACTCCTCCAGAGTGGGCTGTCGAGTTTGCACGCCAACGTGCTGAGAAGGGCATTGGTGCTGTTCACTAAACGGCCCATCATGGATGCAACACGTTTCCGGAAGATCGCGTAGAAGTCGTCTACACGAGCCTCCGCAAACATTGCAGATGCACTGCAGTGACGTGGCTTCCCCAATACCGCTCTCAGCACATTGTTGTACTGCACACGAAGAGTTCTGAAGGTCCGCTGCGTATAGTCCGCCCACAGACTGCACGTGTAAAAAGTCTGGCAGTAGGCTCTAAACAGCGTTAATTTTACCTCTGCATTACAACGCGCAAATCTGCGGGCCAACATATTGCCCCGGACCGACAGCGCCCTTCGCTCCCTCTCTATATCACCGTCGTCCACGAGGCGCTCGTTAACTATATGGCCGAGATATTTGAACTCCGCCACCTGTTTCAGGGGAATACCACACAATCGTATGAAACCTATAAAATAGTGTAGTAAAGCCATACTGCAGTTATATTATAGTTGTAGCACGAATGGGTCGGCTTGGCTGAAGGTCCACCCCCTCAGGGAATATCAGCGTGAAATAGCAGCTTAATGCTGCTGTGTATCGTATGGCGAGTGTAGTAAGCCGGAGACCCTCCTTACTGGAAACGGTGCATTCCATCTAACTCCTCATGGGTGACAAGGCATTTGTAATTTGATTTGTAATCGAGGATAGATGTAGATGTCTATTGGCCACAGCATCTATTTTCCCATCAGATGGAATGTGTGCTCGTTTGTCAACCTTATTCTATAAAAAAAAATCCCAGATACTTCTCAAGTCGTTTTTAACACTCATGGGCGAGATAAGATAAAGGATTTCGTTACGCCAAGCACACGGTAATATCCAAAACTTATATGCAATACCACTTACTTGTTGTTAGAGCTGTTGTACAGGGGCATGTTGGAAACTGCGGTGTAATCCTTGTGGTGACCAATGTTGAGACGGAATGTTGCCTTATAAATCGGCTCGTCGAAGCAGGGGAAGCCCTTGCGCGCGGATGTAGCCTCGAACTGAGTCGCTATGAGGTACCTAAGTGAAGACAAATTACTATTACTTTTCAGATTAAATCAGTTATTCCGTCACAATATTCTCAGTAGCTGCCCGGAGTCAGGAAGTTGGCGGTGTCTCCAACTTGCGGGTTAACCAAGAACCACCTAGCTTTAAGTATATTTGCCTAATGTTGAGGACATCCTGTAACCTGTAAGTAGAGCACCGTAGTAGCTTGTCTATAAGGGAGCCTAGCTGCAGTTTATGGATTGCTCTTTGAGCTTTCTCAGCGTCAGTCAGATGAGTTTGAGCTGCACAACCTCACGCTGTCAGCAGATTGTGTGACAATAGATTATATTGTCTTTTTGCAATTTTACGTGGTAGAGCCACGCTGAAGCTATATTATAGTTGTAGCACGAATGGGTCGGCTCGACCGGGGAAGGACCACACTCTCACAGAATACCAGCGTATAATAGCAGCTTAGCGCTGCTGTGTTTCGTATGGTGATTGTAGAGAACCTGTGACCTTTTTTACTACAAACGAGGCATTCCATCATAGGCCTCATGGGTGATAACGCATTTGCATTTTGATTCGTAATCGAAGATAAATGTAGATGTCTATGGGCCACAGCAACCACTACCCATCAGGTGACTGTGAGTGTTTATCACTTCGCATTATAAAAATAAGGTTTTTAATTATATTTAGATACAAATTACATACTGATGAAATACGAATAATATTTTTTGATCATAGCGACATAATAGAAAAAACTGAACTGGTTATTTGAATAAAAAATCACGAGTGCAATTAGTTTAATTTAAATTTTCGTGTTTTTAAAAAATACTAAAAAAAGGGCTCGAAAAAACAGATTTTCTCAAAAAAGAAAGGAACTTGATAAAAAAAATTAAAAAAAGTCGGTCGGTCGGTCTGGGCTCGAACCATGGTATTACGATTATGTGACCGCCCAATATACCAATGAAGCTATTTGTAATCATTAAAAAACTGTCAAAATTTACCTTCTTATTCAAACGATATTGTAGCAGTTTTTCATTGCTTAAAAACACGGACAAAAAAGACATTTTCTAAAAATAAATCCTAGCTAGATCGATTTATTGCCCCCGAAACTCCCTGCACACAAAATTTTGTGAAAATCGTTGGAGCCGAGATTCCGATATATATATATATATATATATATATATATATATATATATATATATATATATATATAAGAATTGCTCGTTTAAAGGTATAGGATACATATACATTAAATTCCTTTAGATGATTTTTTTAACGTCTGGAAAAATAGGGAGTAACAGTTGAACGGAATAGAAGCTGATATTTTACAATTTTTATTTTTATTTTACATTAACATATTATGAAATTGATCTATCAATAAATAGTACTAATTGGGTACATATTATTTTAATTTGAATAGTTTTAATTGATTTATTTATTTAGTCCAAAATTTTGTTGTTATTTTTTTAGTATCGAAAGTTTATTTCAAATTAGTCGTATTTATTGATAGATCAATTTCATAATATGTAAATGTAAAATTAAAAATAAATTTTAAAATATCAGAGCCATAGGCTTCTATTCCATTTACCTGTTACACCATTTTTTTTCCAAACGGTTAAAAAAATTACCCAATATAATAAAAGTTTTAAAAACTTACTCTTTAGCTTTGCTATTCTTATTGACATATGTACTAATGTACACTCCATCGAGTCCTGTCTTGAGATTACCGAAGAAAGGAATTCTCAGCATATAATTTTCATTCTCCACCAGCTCTTTATCCAAAGTTATAGTGAGGAAGTTGTAGGTGTCGTTCATCTTTACCCCTACGATCTCGGGTAAATCATTCTGGCCCAAAAAGGTCACCGTATCTTCTGCCACCGTGAAGTCTTGAGCGTGGAGGACAATCTTTGATGTGGTTTTCTTGATGTTAAACTGTAAAGAGAAAAAAGAAAAAAATATAAAATATATATCAAGCAGTGGCTAAATAAATAAAATTGTAAAAAAAAATTGGAAAATCGGAAAGTCCACACATCCCATGTAATACTTTAAATGGATTACAGAAATGATTATCGGAAGGAACTAGCTCCACATGATTCTGAAGATAATGAAAAAAGATTTAGGTCGTTTTGTTAAGTAGTTCTCGAGATATCTTGCACACAAGGATTTTATGGTCCACAGACTAAAGGACGGCTACAATATATTTTTATCAGACTTTTTATAATAATACATAACGTCGAATTAAAAAAAAGCATCAGGCTTGTTCATTAGTGTTCCCTCTTCTAGTCATGAGTGAAACGAATAATTAAAAAAAATCGACAGTACAGCCATACCTCTCCGCTTCGCGTTCAAGGTGTGCAATACTACGGACTCTGATTACGAATACGATCACGTTTTACTCTCTATACGTAAGAAGTCACCTTTGTAACACGCCGAATATTTATACTTTATATACTTGATTTAGACAACTTTAAAAAGAACGTGATACTAAATTAGACTTTTTTTATATAGAATAAGTATACATATTTTATTATGTATAAGTATAAGTACGAGCACACACTTCACCTAATGGTAAGTGGATGCTGTGGTTCATAGACTTCTACATTTATCATCGATTGTAAATCAAGATGCAGATGCGTTGAAACCTCTGAGGAATTCAAAAATGTAATGCCTCGTTTCCAATAAAAATGGTCTTTACCCTTTAGTGTAGACCATTTAGTGTAGAGACACTCACTATAGGAAACACAGCAGTTAAGCTGCTATTTTACGCTGGTATTGTGTAGCAGGTCTCTTGTAAGTGTGATACGCGATATCTTCGCGTATTGAGAATAAATTTTGATGATTCATTGGTGTTTGAAGCTGGTACTACTTAAATTTTAAGAAAAAATTCCATCCCTAAGGGTGGAAATTAGGGATAATAGGGATGGAATAATTAATTTAATTATTTAAACGACATTCACATGTTACATGTTATCTTGAGCTTGAGTTATTGCTTATTCTACTCAAATTTGTCAAATAGTTAAACTAAAAAAAAAGGAAAAAACGGCTTCGAAAAACTAAAAATAAAAAATATAGGGATATAACGATTTATTAACTTCTTAAATCGGGGATTAATTCTTCCTACGGCCTTAACACTGACTTCGGAAGGTATTAAAAATATCTGCCAAATTAATTGATTATTTTTAAGTTTGTTGAAGTCAATTTTTACTATAGATCTAGTATAAACTAACGTTAGGTTTTTACTTTTTACAGCAAATTTCTAAGATTTTAATTATTCAGTTTTTATTACGCAGCCTTTACCTCAGAGGTGGTGCAATTTAAACATTTTTTATAGGATAGGGTGACAAACGAGCACACCGGTCACTCGATGGTAAGTGGTTGCTATGGCCTATAGACATCTACATTTATCCTCGATTACGAATCAAAATGCAAATGCGTTATCATCTGTAAGGACTAAGATGGAAAGCTTCCTTTCCAGTAAAAAAGGTCTGCGGTTTTCTACGCTCACCATACGAAACACAGCAGCATTAAGCTACTATTTTACGCTGGTATTCTGTGAGAGCGTGGTCCTTCCCCAGTCGAGTCAACCCATTCGTGTTACAACTATACTACTAATATAGTTGCAGTATGAGTACCACGTGCGCAGTTACGAGTATTAACCTCAGACTATGAGAACATTTTCGAAAGTCAAGGGACAAACAAAAGATTTCAAATTATACGCCCACAACAACAATTGCACGTATATTAACCTTGCTTAAAAGATTTCACTGACCAAACAAAAACAAGTTTGCCATTGGTTTTGCAAGTTTTAAGCAACAATACGTTTTTCAGAACGACGTGGGCGGTGTTACGAGTACAATGACGACCAACAGTAAAAAGTAGGTTGCAAATGATTTTAGATAAATATACTTTATTTTACAATGAAACTAAGTTTTAACCGCGACTTCACCTCATGTACACTCTCCAACGGATGCAGCCAGCTTATCACATGAGCGACGCAACGACGTCACTCCGCAATTCAGCACATTCCAACGCTGTCTACGGGGACTCGGGAAGCGCGGTTAATTAGACCTAAGTTGTGTCTCATATTGTAATGTCGCATAAATAATTATTATATATTTTTTTAAATTTTTTAATGTATCCCTCTCGGGATAACATAAACGAAATAGCAGTATCTATAATAGACTTAGAACATACATAAGCAACTTATGCTTAAGTATACGCTAAGATAACAGCGGTCTTTGGGCAAGTAGTTTAACTATCGAAAATCCGTTTTAAACGCAGTTTTTGGCCATTACCTAAAATTAATCTCGCGTGCAAAATATAAAGTTTTTAGTTTCGCTTGCACAAGGAAGCTTGAAGTCGCAAAGAGAATTATAAAGAGGTAGTATATTCTTGGAGTTCCCTGCGTGTACGAAATGACGATATTGGTAGTAGACCAACGGCTCTGTGGCGCGCTGACTTAGCGTTGAGTTGCTGCGCTAAGCGCGACGGGTTCGATTCTCGCACGAAACTATTTGTATAGCCTACAATTAATGGGTCCCGGTCTGGATGTTTGTCGTTGTGCAATTTATGTATGTAACTGCCAGGAGAAAATGCTACAAGTGGCGTTCAATGTATTCTCGGTATTAGAGTGATTTGATAATAATGTGGGTATTCAAAAAATTCATTAGCTAACGACACTATCTGAAGGTATAAATATGAAAATATAAAATATAATTCTTATGTAACCTTCAGTCATAGACGACGGGAATGGACTCGACAATATTAAAAAAAATATTCATCACCAAAGCAAGGATATACTAAAAAAGATATTCATAGAGAAATGGCGGCCGTTTACCAAGACTCTGCTCCTTCAATGGCAACCGTACAGAAGTGATCAAGTGAATTCAAAATAAGCAGGAAAAAAATCGACGATTAACGCCGCCCGGAAGGCCAATCACAGCGACTGCAGAAAAAAATTTGAAAATTACTACTAACTACTAACCTATCCGTCGGTACCATACACACTATATTGCATGACTTCACCTCACAGAAGTCAGTGCAAGATGGGTGCCGGGAATGCTCACTGCGCTTCAAAAGCAGGTGCGGATTGACTGTTGTAGGGAGTTTTTAAAGCCGTGTGGTGTCAGCCAACAAGTGTTTTCGATAGGATAGTTACAGAAGATGAAACGTGGATTAATCACTATTACCCTGAGAGTAAACAGGAGTTAATTCAATGGAATAAAAAGGGATCCACACACAGCAGACCCCCCGCGAAGTTTGAAGTCACTACAACGGTCGTATCGTTATTTTTTGTAAAATTTCAGTGCCATAGGCCTCTACTCCGTTCACATGTTACACCCTATTTTTTCCAGACGGTAAAAAAGGTCGTTTTATACGTAGTAGAACCATGCTGCAGGTATATTAGTAGTATAGTTGTAGCACGAATGGGTCGGCTCGACCGGGGAAGGACCACGCTCTCACAGAATACCAGCGTGAAATAGTGGCTTATTGCTGCTGTGTTTCGTATGGTGAGTGTAGAGAACCGGAGACCCTTTTTACTGGAAATGAGGCATTCCATCTTAGTCCTCACGGGTGACAACGCATCTACATTTTGATTCGTGATCGAAGATAGATGTAGATGTCTATGGGCCACAGCAACCACTTACCACCAGTTCGACTGTGTGCTCGTTTGTCACCCTGTCCTATAAAAAAAGGTCACCAGTATATACCGACTGAGTCGGTATATGGAGGTGCTGAAGTGCTTGTTTTTTTTTAAATACTGGTAATTCTATTAACATTGCTAATATTCCCTGTAACCACTCCAGGTAAGCTAAAACCGCTTGTGTTAGGAGTGGTTTACGACAGCGGATTCGAACCCACGACCTTTTGAATTCGCGGTTCGCACCCTGCCATTAGACTACTGTCGCTTTGTTAACGCTCCTAATGCTTCCTCTACACTACTCGCGAAGTAGATCGAAGTTGGACGAGGCGAATAGTGTAAAGAGGTACTTCGATTCACTTCGTCCAACCTCGCTTCGCCTCGGGCGACTTCCGATCGCTGTCGATTTTTTGCGCCAGAGTCAAAGGACTTCGCGAAGTACCCCGAAGTGACACGAAGCATCTCACTACACTACTCGGCGTACGTCCATTAGCGCTTTGACGTCGTACTGTTCACACGTGGGTGCGCGCGCATAAAATTGGGTACATATAATGAGTGCGACTTGGTCACAGGAACAAGTCCTTTTCTTCTTAAAAACACTACAATCAGAGCGAGTTATTTGAGACCCAACTGACAGAGGACATAAAGATAGAAAAAAAATTAGCGATGCTTGGGTGCGCATTCAAGGAATTTTCAATATGCCTATCCTAGAACTGAAAAAAAAGAAAGAATCTCTTTTTGCCACCTACTGGGGCTATTGCAGAAAAAAACAAGTCACTTAAATCCGGTGCCGGCGTGATGATATTTATCTTCCAGTATGGTTTGCATTTGAACATATGGATAATTTTTTGGGACCAGTATTTAAATGTAAACAAACAATGACAACGGTGAGTTTTTATTATTTAATTAATGAGTAGGTTAAAAATTAATTTATTTCAATGCATGCTAATGTAAAGTAAATGCACACCTGTTTCACTGCTTTATTCAAATACGAGTATATTATGAAAATGTATTTTATTTCCATATTTCATGAATTCCAACAACAGATAGGCAAGATTTCACAAAAGTATATGAATACACCATTCACTTACGTTACTGTTTCTTTTTTACATTTGTATGCATTGTATAATTTTCATTACATTTAGTAATAAATTTTAACCGACTTCAAAACGGAGGAGGTTTGCAACTCGAGTGTGTTTGTTTTGTATGTATGTTACGCAATATCTTCGCAGATTATATTAATGTTGATCTGCGTGGTATTCGTGCAATATTTCTCAAAGCAGTTTTTATC